TTTGATTTTAACGGTAGTGTAGTATATTGCTTATAAAGCCTCCAAGAATATTGTTATTTGGCATAAAAGGCCACATCTTTTTAAAATGCTACTTTTTTTCTTGAACAACTATTTATATAAGAACCTGTTTAGGCTAACTTGAAAAAAAACTAGGTTCTTATACGCGGGTTTTTACTGTATTTCACTGAGGGCAAGTTCACAATCATGCATGCATGCAATCACTTACTGTTGAAATATTGCTGGTTATCATGACAAGTATACATTGCTTTATCATCTATGAGTAAACTGAGGAGGGGGCAACGGCTTCATGGGAGAAATATAGCTGTTCTTTTGTCCCAGTCAGATGAAGTAACAAGTGGTTGCCAGCAAGATTATAATAATCTCAGAAATAATATTTTTTTTCCGCAAGAAACTAAAAATTTCCTAAATATAAACATTTCCTAGGGGCTGAATGATCTAAGCTCCTCAAAATTGAGTAGTGAAAACAAACAGACAAAAAAAACCCTGCAGAACAATTGCTTGTCAGAATCTCAGTTCAGCATCCCATACCCAGAAAAAAATCGTATAAGAATTGTTATTTAAAAGAACAGATGTCGAAGTCTCCTACTGAATAAAAAGCGCAATATATGCACTAAAACCGTCAATTAATTTCACGTACCCTCACTAGACTGTTTTCTTTGTAAATGATGAATGTAGACKCGTTTTTACTATATGACAATTGRTATTCTGTGACCCAGGCTTTTTGATCATAGCTGCCTTGAGTAGCCACGCCTGATACAACATGTAGATGTCCAAGGTCAATTTGTAACCACTGATCATTAGTGCTGTTGGCGCACCACGAAAACGGTTCAATTTTGGCTTCCTTGACAATGCGACATAGCCTTGCTGGAGTGGATGGAGAAAGCTGAGATGACGCAGAAACAGCAGAGTCTGGTATTRCTGACGAGTTGACTGGATTCAGGAGGGTCCTGTTGCATTCTGTTAATGTAGTTGAATTAGAAAATATTAGCCTTTACCTAAACTAATTAAATATGTTTAAGTTTCGCTTAAGTCACTTTACATTATAGAACGTTCTCGTATGTCCCATTACTTAATCTTAACGGTTAAGAACGGTTACATGCACTTCTTAGTTGCGTGAAATCGCAATAGTAACGACCTTGTACTCATAAACTAAATTTGGTGAAACGACTATCGCTCTTACAAGTCATAGAATGAATACGAATTTTGATGGTGATAAATATTGCCTTATGAATGCTCATGATAGCAAATACGCCCGGTAAATCAGTAACGTNTTGCGCTATGCTATTCTTGGTTGAAGAGCTCAAATCATCAATCATAATAATAATTGAGAGCTGAAAATGCGTTTTCCAATGTAACAAAAAGAATAACGTTCTCTTTCATGATTTTGTATATTAAATCATTCCTTAGTAGACGTCACTTCATTTGCATTTTCCAAGTTTCAATTGCCTATAACTTAGAAAATACAATTTAAAATCAATTTCTTTCTTCACAGATGAACTTAGCAGCATTTTCTCTTTTGGATGAGAATGAATTTCTAATGGTGTCATGTGCACTTTAAGTAGTTTTACCTGGTAGAGCTGCCCAATGAATATCAACCGGATCATATTTTCCGCCGTTATTGAGTTCTTTGATGCAGACTCGAAATCCATGCTTGTCAATGTTCTGTCCATCGATCAATTAAAGACATTTTTTAATCATGCAATGGGATGGTTTTTAACATCAGGAAAGAACTTACAGCAAAATGATAATACAAAATTTGCTGCTTTCTACTACGGTCCAAGTCAACATATAATAAAATTACAATAATCATAGTCACATAATTTTTATACGATAACTTTTGTAAGGGTTGAATGACCTCACCGTCCCCAATATTGACGTCATTTTACACTTTCACCTCTACTTTGAATATCACTAACCTCGATCCACGATGCTATACTGTTATGCAATGGTATCAAAGAACCAGATCGACTAGAATTATGGGTAGCACTCAGCAAGACAGTAGGAACATCTTCGTAAATAACTCCAAACTGCACAGCCTAACATCATAATATGATAATTTCTTTTTATATTTTAATTATTTTTATTCGCTTTTATCTTATATAGTAATATAAATATTTTGGAAATCAATCTAATCACATTGTAATGGAAAAGCGCTTTGGACTATTTTGGATATGAGCACTATATGATTCTCATTAATTATTCATTAGTTATCCAGCCAATCCCTGATTGTAATTTGTACCAGTTGCAGTAACTGGAAAACCAGATGAAGTTACGCCTACCTTTTATCCAGCTACTTCTACCTTATATTTCCAGTTACTTCTACCTTATATTTCCAGTTACTTCTACCTTATTTCCAGTTACTTCTACCTTATATTTCCAGTTACTTCTACCTTATTTCCAGTTACTTCTACCTTTTTTAAACTACTACTTTGCTTTTTTCCCCTCCCGAATAATTAATGAGTATGAGATCGAAGTCGTTCAAAGTCCTCCATGTTCGGATTGGACGGGATTTCAAGTCCGATGCGGACTTTAAACATTACATACCTAACCCTCCTTTTATTCAAAAATATGGAAAGTAAAATGATGAAATATACTGAAATATAACAAGAAATAAATCTGAATGGTTCTCATTCTCAAAAAAAAAAAAAAAAAACGTTCTGGATCCGCAACTGTATATGCTTAGATAATTTCAAACAACAATTATTTTAAAATAACGAGTCTGCTCAGATATCACTAACGGTCTTAAAGCAAACATATTTTAATACCTTGCAATGTGCGTGTCTTTCTGCTTCTAGAGGTAGCTCTGCGTTATCAAAGTGTATATAGCTTCGTTCGGAGAAGARGTTTCTTGGAAGGTATTCGTATGCCATCCAGTTCTAAAGAACAACTTCGTAAATTTGTTTTTGAAGGTTAATATCACATCCTGATCTCACATTTTATTGAAAAATAGAATTGGAATACAAAASTAGATCYGGCAGATGTCAGCTTTCCAGCATGCCTCATGATACCTGRCAAACAACTTGAAGCGTCTTAGTCACGTGGAAACTTACCACATTGATGTTTCGGTGTAGCCCATCAAAGTTCTGCAACTCGCGCATGCACACTCGGAAGTTCCCCGCTGTCACATCTTCACTCCATAGTGTGGCTGCGTCGTGCTTGAGACCAATACGAGTGTGTTCAGCACTAAGTAATACAAATGGGGAACTCTCAAATTTCTCCTAAAAGATATACGGTCGAATGATTATCGTTAGAAAATGTGGACTMTATATATGGTTATCTTTACTTACTAATGGGAAAGACAGTGCTTTGCATGTGGTTCCATCCCACCAATCAGCAATGAGTTGCTCACCAACTACCCCTCCCTTGGGAGATCCTTGAAAGGCTATCCAGTCGATGTAAGTTAGACCAGAGGCAATCGTTTCCTCGTCATTTCTGCCAGCCTTAAGTGCACATGCTGTGAATTTAGAATGACTTATCCTTTCCACCCAACTACTGACTGCATGATGCACAATACCAGGACCTTGTCCGTCGTAATTGACCGTGATAAGAACGTGGATYGGTAATAATGTATACCATTCATTTGACTCGTATGTGACATCCGTACACCTTACATCARCAATGTCGAGTGAGACCTGGGTACGTCCTCGCTGTAGGATAAAGGCTGAAATACAACAATTATTGTCGTCATTAGACACACCCGGCATATGATACCATGCTCACCAAGCAATCCCTTGCCTTTGGAGAGACGTTTGAGAGACGCTAACATCCCTCCCTCAAAAAAGAAGAGAATTGTGGGATAAAGAAATTGGTCTTTCGGCTAGAGTATAMATGGCAAGACAATCATTGCGAATATGTTAAAACTTTTAAGTTTATATAACTTTAAAAAGTTATAATGTTCAAATCTGAAGAATTTTGTTAACAGAAAACACCTTTTAGCTTCCTTGCTTTTTCAAATAATAATGGTATCCTAARATTCTGATAAATAGGCCTTTGCATTTATTGCCGGTCACATAATAATTATATATAATTATTTGTTGTTTTCAAAAATTAAATGTGGGATTAAAAAAAATATATGCAACTAGGAATGGGATTTTGACAAAAAAAAACAACAAAAAAACTGGGAAATGAGTTCAGACCGCCCTTCATCATCACCCTCTAGTCTAATGTTTGCACATTTTGCTGTAATTCTTACTAAAAATCTTTGTGGATCTAGATTTCTATACTTTTTATATCGTGCATCAGTGAATGCACAACAAAATCCATCGGCTTTCAATTATATTGTGTTTCAAAATAACATGTTCACCATAAATTTATAATCGCAAACAATCATGATATAACTAAGGTATGATGCCTTACGTCTGCAACTTCCAGCATGAGCAATTTGAATGTTTTGTTTGTGTTCGCACATTGCTTTCTTGTAKAGGCATTCATTGTTGTATGTGACACCGGCAGAACTGCATAACATGTCTTCATAAGACGGACACGAGAAGTCACAGATACATCGAGCGTCAGAAGGTCCAAAGGCTACACACTGAGCGTAGAAACCACAAACGACTTCAATGCATGGATCATAATCTACAAGACACATTAGTCATCAAATGTTAAATAGCATTAATCGCTTCATTTAAGAAATATAATACGGCGCGCGTGTCTCTGTCCTCTGATATAAACACGGTTTGAGTCGAAAAACACGAGAGAAGCAAGCTTATAAAAACACGAGCATAATGAGTGTTTATCTTGCTTCTCGAGTGTTTTTCAACTCCCGCCGTGTTTATATCAGAGGACAGAGACACAAGCGACCGTTTTATATTTCTTTTATGAAATATTTTTTTGCGTTCTTCGAGTGAAAAACAAACTTTGCCGGTAAGCCGTGTCTCTGTCCTCTAATATAAACACGGTCATCAGCCAATCAGAGCGCGCGTTATATATCAAAAATTTTATAAATAACAATATAAATACTGCTTGTGCTGGAGCTCTATTCACGGTAGAAATTGCGAGAATCTGGAATAATAATGCGGTATTAACTATATTAGTTAAAACTTTACTTAAGCTGCATTTTCCATACCGKCAGGTCTGAGGACATAAATTCTTGATTGTGGAAAGTGGAAATATGAAAATTACCCTAAATGAAAGACCACAGCAAATTTTATRGAAACCGTGGTTTAATTTAGGCAAATAAAAAAGATTTACAAAGTTTTAAACATGCAAARGTGTAGTAACCTCCAAGCGTACATTTCTTGTGAATTTGGTAGTTTGAAAGGTCTTGAAATAGTTTCGTCTTGATTTGGTTCGCACCAAACTTTCTTAATCTGAATGCGCTCTTTCTATTTGCGTGCCGAGTTACGTGCTGTCAMAGACTAAGCTGTACAATCTGTGGAAGCCTTGTCAAAACTCCCCGATATGGAAATGGCGAGATTACGATCGTTAAGATTACCTCCAAGTGCCATAAAAGTAATGTCYAACGGCGTGTGCTTTCCCCTCAGTTTCTGACCATCTTTCATGCATATTTGAAGTCCATTGATATCTAAGTTCTATAAGAGTGAGTTACAACCGTTAATCTTCCATTCACACAACAATACGCACACCCACCACCTAACAACAAACATACTTCCAACTGACGTCCAACCCTATAACATGTTATGGTCACCGTTGATCCTCCATTCAAACAAAAACARCCATACCCTCCACCATACGTTATTGTAACCGTATAGATCTTGCACCAAAACAAAAAGAGCTTGCCATACCCTCCACCGTACGTTATTGTCACAGTTGATCCTCCATTCGAACAAGAACCATAATTTCGATTCCAACATAATTTTGCCGCGCAAATCTGATTGCTTACATGCAGTTATGCGGTATGAAATGAGAACGAAATACTCATAAACACAACAGCAATTACATTAGACTCGACAAAAGAACAACGCCTGAACCGGACCTTATTATCACTAAAAACAACCATAGCCTTTACYATACGTTATTGTCAATGTAGGTCGTCTTTTCAATAAACAACCAAAAGCTTGCTTATCCGCCTATTGGTATTTTCAGMGTTAAAAGTAATGTACCTCAATCCAGTTAGACATGGTATTAGTCTTTGGGTTAATTGATCTTGGGTTCCCTGGGTCAAATGTGTGAGAGGCACTGGTGATAATCACCGGAGGCTCAAAAAACTTGTAGTCAAAAGTTGAGTTCTGTTTAAAAAGGAAACCAGCATTGTAAGCATCCATTAATGAAAGGACTGAAATCTGGTGATACCTGGCAAAAACTGTACTTTTGTGATTTTCTCGGCRGCCCGTCGTTTAGCATTTTCATCCTCTTCTTTTCCTTTGCATTTCCATGTCCAGGCTTCTCAGCCATGCCCAACCAGCTCTACCATGTAAAACACACTGGTTACTCCCAGTAATGAATAATGTCTACTTATTTTTTCATGGCATTGCAGAATCTCGGGGGGGGGGGGGGGGGGTACTCCCATATCTTTGCTATACGGGGACCCTGCCACTGGTCAGGGTATGGTTTTTGGCCTTGCCGTCTTAAACAGGGTATACATTTCACCAGAAATTGTCTTAAACAGGCTCTAGGATTTAGATAAAAAACCGATAAAATTTTTTTTGTGTCTTAGACAGGGTAATATTTTCATAGGAAATACCGTACACGTAGAAATAGTAGAAATACCGTTTCACTGTAGCAGGATTAACGTGTCATCAGAAACTTCTTATTGTCTTTGATGGATGTCAGTTTAATTGCAGTTTTGATGGTTGCGGCGTAGATAGCGATTCCGTATTTTTCCGATTTGTCTTGAACAGGGTRTGGATTTTCACTTTCTAGTGTCTTAAACAGGATCAGGTTTTTTCTGCCGCATCGCTCGTAGTCCACTCTTGCTCTCGAGGTCTAACTATTAAATAGCCTGGACTGCCTGTGGTCTCACGMGTTAATGAAAACCACTCTACATAAAATTAGTTACTCACCACTTCAAATGATTTGTGTTCGCCATTAAAGTTTTTGAGCTCTCTAAGACATATTTTAAATGAAGATTTTTTGACGTTCTCGAGCCAAAGTGTTGCTGCGTCATTTCGTTTTTCATTAGCATGTGTGTGTACAATAGTCGCATAAACATCGGGGAAACTTACAAATTTCTGCAAATAAATAACGACAAATTCAAATCATAATATTTTGGACTTGTATATGCTTTAATAGAACGAAAAGTAAAATTGAATAATTTTTACAGTAATTAATGATGTTATACCTCTGGGAAGTAKACCGTCTCACAAGCAGTTCCAGATACAAAGCTACTTAAGWGGTGCCGCCCAGCCTTAGATCCTTGTGGGACTTGCGAAAATGCCATCCAATTGACAAYTAACGTCGCCATGTCACGGTACGGACCGGATGTTACCGCGCATGYCTTAAATCCTGTTGCTTGGACATTCTCAACCCAGTTCACCGCGGCTTCATAAGTGTTTCCAGTGGGATCTTTATTATATAATGAAGTATGAACGTACACGTCAGATGACGAGAACGGAGTCTTAAAAGTGATATTTCCACAGCTAAAGTATTTTTCTCCTGTTGGGAATTCGTTCATGCCGAACTGGAGATCCTGAGCTGAAGAGCAATAATGTTGTTTTCAATTTTGGCAAAAATAGTTAAACGACTTGCTGTCCGATAACAAAATTACTAACCTTGTGAGAGAATGAAAWATACAGCTAGCAAAACATACCGCTTCAACGGGCGAAACATGGCGTAATGGCTTCAAAACAATTAAGAACACAAGTTGAGTGTTGTTGAGTGTTGTTGTTTTCGTAAATAGCTGACCTGATATTTACCAGTTTGAGTATCTCAAACAAATTTTGCTTTCAGGAGCTCACTGGTATAAAGGACGGTGTAAGCAAACTAAAAAGAAACAGCGCGTTCTTGACAAGAAATGACTGAAATGCTGCTCGGGTGCATGTTATCCGATATTTATGTAGCACTGGTTTTCACTCGTGCATTAAATTAGACGTGTAATATTCTCGTAGTGGTTTTCATAAACTCGTGATTTACACCAGGTGATAATTGGATGTGTAATTGTAATGTATAGATTGTCAGCTACGATAATTGCGATTTAATAATTTATAAGCTGTATTGCCCGACCTCCCTCTCTGTGGTCATTAAACACGCGATTGAAAGAAATTAAATGAGCGATCAAAGCCAYGTTCAGATCGAAACAGAAGCGGGTATGCCARGCATTTATGGATAGATTTCTGGTAACATACTCGGCTTGCTATACGCTGCGATACATAGGTGTGCATATTTTGCTGCAATGCCACCTCAAAAACYACACCTCTTGACACTTACACCGGACAGACGAACTGCGCAAGCGCGGAAGTGACGGGGCTTAAGACAGCCAATCTATGGTTTTTTGAAGCAGTATTGCCCCAAATCGCAAACATTAAGACATTGGCCGTTTTTATACTAGAGACGGCTAAGACGTCTAGATGACTTAAGGCTCCAAAGACGTCCTAAACTTTAAGTATAAAATCGAGAAAAAATGCTGACGACTTAGACGTCTGACGGCTAAGACGGCTAAGAGTCCTAAGACGTCTAAACTTAAGGACATCGAAACGATGCCCTTATCGTCGACCAAAGGGCTTGGCCGTCAAGCATAAAGTCGAGACGACCAAAAACAGACACCCTTGCCAACATGAAAGCGAGGTCTCACGTGTAAAAGCCACGTGTGGACTGGTCATGAGTTTAAATATGGCGTCCAAGCAAAAGCCAATCAGCAAAAAGGTCTAGAAAATGGTCGGATGAGGAGCTTAAAGAGTTTCCTTTCGTGGTTTCTTTAGTAAAATGCCACTTATGGCGATCGCCGCTTGGGAATCCAACATTTCACCTTCCATTTCAGTTTCAATCCATTTTCTTGACTTTTTACGTCTTTCTGAGGACATATGGAGCAGTATGGTCTTGCTTTTCTTTTTCTACGTTTCGATATTTGTCGAAAAAAAATGGAATACATGCTAAACTACAATCTCGTACCCAAACAAAAAAGTACCTATCGAATTCCCGCGCTTATGATGTCATACTCGCACGCAGACCCCTCTCAACCGTTCTGCGAGATCTCACTAAGCTAAGGTCAACTCGATTTTATACTAGACGCCCTTATGATTAACTGTTAAGGTCATCTAGACGTCAACGCCCTCCTGAGGTATGTGGAAGGAGATACAAGGGCAAATGTTTTTTTATTCAATGTATGTACAGACGTTTCGAAACCGCCGTTGTTCCTCTCACCAAACCCTTCTACACAGGTGTGTATTAGGCTTTGTGTCCATACAATTGTTCGGATCGAAATCACTCGAAAACGCGTATTTGAATTCTTTGTGTTTCATGAACAATCTCGTACCCGAGCCTTCGTTTTTCTTGACCATCGCCGTCGACACATATGGCAGTCTTACGTTTTCGGCGCCAGCCAGGAAAACGAAGCCTCGGGGTACGAGATTGTTTTATCAAGGGAATTAACAATAATCCAAAACGTATTTTAAGGTGATTGAGACGATCATATGAAAAGTAAGCCTGATAGTGCGATTTGACAGCTTTGCAGAATATCTGAGGATACATGGACGTACAATTTTATTTATTAGGGTGCAGTAAACAAAATAACTATAACATTATGCGGTATATTATGCAAGACCAAATCCCGTGGAATATTGAACAGCCTGGCTGAGTTTAGTCTTCATAATTTGTTTAGTGGGATATCGAGGTAGATCTAGCAAATTAAAACATGTGTGGGCAACGGGTAGATGCTCTCCGTGTTCTCCACCAGCCACGGGTTGAATTATTATCTAAAATAATAGAGACGCGTCATGATAAAAACAAAGGAGGTATAAGGAGTGTGGTTCGCTAACCTGCATGCTTTCCATTCCAAGGATCGGCACTCTGTCACTTCCTGTTAAGAAAGCTGTAAAAAATACACAGATAGTAGTTATAGAACAATACACAGATAGTAGTTATAGAACAATACACAGATAGTAGTTGTAGAACAATACACAGATAGCAGTTGTAGAACAATACACAGATAGCAGTTATAGAACAATACACAGATAGCAGTAAGTTATAGAACAATACACAGATAGCAGTTATAGAACAATACACAGATAGCAGTTGTAGAACAATACACAGATAGCAGTTGTAGAACAATACACAGATAGCAGTTATAGAACAA